CGAGAGAGAGAGAGAAGGAGAGGCCCCCCCCCAGGGGGGGGGGGGGGGGTTGGCCATGTCGCAATCCCTTCTCCTCCATTCTCTTCTCTTCTCCTAGGATTTAGGGAATACATGCACAGGTGCCCAGCGTGGGTTTCAGGCTGCCTGGTCCAGGACTCAAACTATGGTCAGCTGTGTGGGAGTGCAGAGCCTTAACCACTATGCTACCTGCTCGCCCCCAGGTCTTGGTCTCTTAAAGTATTGATATTCTGAATTGGACCAGAGTCTGATCATGGAACACAGAGGAAAACATGGTAACTAGAAGACCATGGCACAGCTTTTCAAGTGAATTGGGGCTGGCAATATAGTATATTTCAAATCTAAAATATCAGTTAGGAATAAGAATATAGCCATAAGGAATAAATTTGAATACATTAAATTTTTATTGAATCTTTGTTCTACCCATGTAATTTACAAGAGAAAAGGCCTTCCAGGTTGAACCAAAGCATTTCACTCCTGCCCCAAAGCACTGGGGCCAGCAGGAGGCGTAGTGGTTAAAGTGTTTCACTCCCACATGGCTGCAGTTCAAGTCCCAGACCTCATAGCTTACTTTTTCACTTTCCCTCTTTATTTCTGTCTCTCTGGTGAGTGTGCATGCCCTGTAGCAAATTAAAAAATGATGATGATGATAAATAAAATTAAATAATTTGAAAGGAAAAACTAAAGGAAGCACCAGTGCCTGATTTCCAATGGGTTACCCAGTAAATATCTGCTGAATGAAAAATGAATAAATGGTTAGGGGAATGGGACAGCGAAGGGAAATAGAACAAGACATAATAGTAGTGCACACAAGGACTGTTTACCTAATCCTTTAAATAGATTTTGTTTTTGTAATTACGTGTTTTAGGCATAGGACCATGTTCCATTTTTCTGAAAGTCTGCACTCTGGTCACCACTCATTCATTTGAGAAGTTAGTTTGTTTTGATGGCTGGTATCACTTAGCAGTATTTCAGCCTTACTTTCCACCGTGCTAAGTAAGTAAATATTTTAGTATTATTGATGTGGCCTGTGGTCTCTGAATGGTTATTGCATGGTGTAGTTTCATTTCTTAAGATAATTTACAGGAGAATTGCAGCCTGAACATTCGTATTCTATTTTGAAATTACCGGTGAAATCATGACATAGATGTTGCTGTGGAAGGTTGTCCTGAGTTTGGTTTTACATACGGTTCGTGTGACCATCAACTGTACTTCCTGTTCTTCTCAGGTATTTGTTACTAGCAGTGGGAAATACAATGAACTTGGATATCCATTTGGTTATTTAAAAGCCAGTACAACTTTAACTTGTGTAAACCTCTTTGTGATGCCTTACAACTACCCAGTTTTACTTCCTCTTTTAGGTAAGTAAAATATGTACCATTTAATCATCTTTAAAATAGAACAAAAACGAAAAACAGATAATGGACTAAGCATTTCAAATGTAGTAAAAACATAACATTAGCACTGACAATAGATAAAAGCTTAAAAACTGATTTGGAAGAGAAGAATTTGCATATTGTTTTCTGTTTTATTTGTTGTTTTTACTGCAAAGAGAAGAGATCCTTAACTTTTGTGATGGGATTCCTAGGCTGTTCTTTAGGTTCCAAGTCCCTACAGGGTGGGGAGGGCAGTTGGAAATGCACTTGGCTCTTTTGTAGACAAGTTGAGGCCAAAAAATACCATTGACTGAGGCTAACGTTCAGTAGTATCTGAGTAACCGCTTCTTGAGTTATTCCTATTCAAATTTTGCCATGGAAACCACAGCTTCTACAACCACAGTTACTGTAGATTTCTCTCTTGCTCTTGAGGCATAAGTTAGGGGCAGACGAGTGACTTAAGGAAATGGGTGCAAGAGTTAATTCTGCAATAACTGTGGTTGTAGAAGCTGTGGTTTCCATGGCAAAATTAGAATAGGAACAATCAAGAAGCTGTTACTCAAATACTACTGAAAATGCATGTGGAGGTTTTCTTCTCACTCAAAGAGCAGCATCTGTTTAGAATAATATAGTACTTGGTGGTATCCTTCTGCTTGTTAAGTTGTGAATGGTTTTTATTTGGTGAGATATTTGAATTTTTCTGAAAAAGATCAAATCTTTTCTAATTTTTCATATGGTCATTAAAAACATAAGGCTTAAGTGCTATAAATACTGCATACATTGAACTCACTGAAAAGGCAGTACTTTCAAGTGTTGAGAGTTTAAAAGTTTAGGAATGTGTAATCATAAACACATTAGCATGATTGTTTTGCATAGTCTGTATGCTTTATTTCTTATTCTAATCTAAAAATATCCTCTTTCAAAGAAAAGTATCTGCGGGACCAGCAGTTAGCGTAATGGCTATGTCACTGGACTCCCACGTAGTCGACCATGGTTCGAATCCCGGACCCGGTGGCTTAAACTCATGTCGGCGCGTCTGCTTGCATGCCCAAGATCCCAAGAGGAGAATGGAGGAGAAGGGATTGTGGCGTGGGCATCCCCCCTGGGGGGTGATTTCTCACTTTCTATCTCTCTGTCTCTCTCTGTCTGTCTGGCGAGCGCACGTGCCCTATAGCCAAAAAAAAAAAAACCTCTCCAGAAAAAGAAAAAAAAAAAAAGAAAAGTATCTGTGTTTGGTGGATTTATTTATTTATTATTTTTGTAAAGAGAGGTTTTTGCTATAGGGTGTGTACGTTTGCTGGAGAGATAGAGAGAGAGACAGAAAGCAAGAAATCACCCCCTACAGGGGGGATGACCACACTGCAATCCCTTCTCCATTCTCTTCTCGGAATTTTGGGCATGCACACACTCACACCTGGTGTGAGTTTTAAGCCACTGGGTCCAGGACTCGAACTGCACTCAACTATGTGGGAGTCCAGTGACATAATCATTATGCCATCTGCTGATCCCTCTTTTTCTTAAATATGCCTTTAACCTCAGTTTTCACAAATACAGAATGAAGGGATTAGAGTAATCTTCACTTACACTCTTAATATTAGGTCATCAGAAAAGTCATGACATATGTTTGCATAGAAAAGCAGAAAAATACATCATGGCTTATCTGATGATCTAATATTATTATTATTATTATTATTTAGGAATGTATTTTTTGCCATAAGACGTGTGCACTTGACAGAGAGACAGAGAAATAGTAAGAGGGAAAGTGAGAAATCATCTCCAAGGGAGGATGGCCAAACTGCAGTCCTTCTCCTCCATTCTTCCTGGGTTTTAGGGCACACATGCACATGCATGTGGCATAATTTTCAACCTTCCAGGTCCAGGACTTTGAATCGTGGTCAACCATGTGGGAATCCGGCACCTTAACCACTACAATACCTGCTGGCTCCCTATTTTTTTCATTTTTTTGGATATACTTATTTGGATCTACTTTTTTAAAATTTTTTAAATTTTATTCATTCATGCATTTATTTTAATTTGACCAGAGAGAGATACACAAGGAGAGAGAGAGAGAGAAAGAGAGAGAAAGTAAGCCGCTAGTTCCAGGACTCGAACCATGGTTGGCCATGTGGGGAGTGTCCAGCGCCTTAACCACCACGCCACCTGCTGGTCCCCCTGGATCTACTTTATTAAGGTATAATTGACATACAAAAAAGCTGTACAAAATTAATGTCTAGGGAACCAGCAGTTAGTGTAATGGCTATGTCGCTGGACTCCCACATAGTCGACCGCAGTTCGCATCCCGGACCCCGTGGCTTAAAACTCACGCCGGGCGCGTGTGCGTACGTGCCCAAGATCCCGAGAGGAGAATGGAGGAGAAGGGATTGTGGCGTGACCATCCCCCCTGGGGGGTGATTTCTCGCTTTCTGTCTCTATGTCTCTCTCTGTCTGTCTGGCGAGCGCACGCGCCCTATAGCGAAAAAACCTCTCCAAAAAC